ATATATATACATATACATATATATATATATATATATATACTTTAAAGGTATTTTGTTTTCAAAATTTGGGTCTGAGGATATGTTGTTTTGGAAAAGAGGTTCTTTTGTTTCCACAGAGGATGAGAACCTGCAGATTCATTCCAGATTAATGTGGTTTGATGCACCAAAACCCCTTGAAAGGTTGCCATGAAAACCCCCCAAAATTTACTTCACCTAAAACTGCTGACTGACATTAACCTAGCACACAGGATACACCATAAAAAATCTGATTAACAATGCCCAAAATCAGCAGGAAGTAGTCTAGAGAAATAGGCCCAAATTCTCAGTTATTGTTTATAAATATTTGTTTCCATTTAAAGGGAAATATGCTATAGAGATTGGCATTGGTATGGATCTTGGCTTATTGACACAAATTTAAGGTCAATTTTGTTATACTTTGTGTATAATATATATATACATATATATACATATATATATTTCTGCTCTTGATTAAGGTATTGTGATTATACAGCTTATTTAAAAGTATAATGTATAGTTAAGAAATATAGATAGAGAGTCATTATAATAAGTAAGATTATAGCAATGTTAGTTATATTTTCTAGATGTACAGAGAATTATTTCAGAAGGATAGGGATTTGTCAAATCTTTCAAAGACCACAGAACATGGCATTTAAAATGTTTTTAGAATTTTAGGACTTTTCATAACAATGAGACTCATCTGCTCCTGTTATCACCAATTACTTCAATAGGAAGATAGACATTGAAAAGGCTCCTCATGGAGTTTGCTGGCCATTTGGGCAAGAAAACGCTTTTGTCTGGACAGCTTGATGGTATGCTGTGTAAACTGGATATGAAAGACCCACAGAGAAATGACTGCTGTACTTTCCTAAAGGTGAGATGATCCTTTGGGGTTCCTGATTCATGAAAGAGTCTGCCAGACATTCTGCAGAACATGGAAGAAAGTGACTGACAAACTGCCAATATAGGTGAAACTTTCTTTAAAATTTCTTGCTTCATGGAAAAGTCTGCAGGATACTATGGGCCTATAGGCTGGAGATGGATGTCCCAATGATACAGAACTTTGATTGACTGTCCAAACAGTGAGATTCTCTGTAATTCTAGAGTTTTGGAAGTTGTTTACGGTTCACTTAGGTAATCTTATATCCTTCCTGAGTCTTTGATGGAGTTGAAAAATTTATAGTTATAGTTTTCCTTAGTTATGATAAAGGATAAAATAGATTTTGTAACTATAATTCTTGCTTGATTCCTGTATAGTTATATGTAATTTTACTATGTTAAAACTAAAACCTTCTTTTTTATTTAAGCAGAAAAGGTGAGGTGATATGGGATTTCCCTCTATATACTGAGAATACCATTTGTTAATAATGGAACAGTTTAGGGCCTATAGCAGAGCTGTAGGGGAACAGAGCTAGGTGGAGGAAAACTAAACAGAATGATGGTATGAAGGAGGCAGAGTCAGAGAGAAGCCATGTAGCCCTGCTGGAGCAGGATGGAATTTTACCCAGTAAGTCACTGCCACATGGTGATTCACAGATTAATAGAGATGGGTTAAATTAATATGCAAGTGTTATCCAATAAGAAGCTAGAGCTAATGGGCCAAGCAGTGATTTAATTAATACAGTTTCTGTGTGATTATTTTGGACTTAACAGAACTTAAACTAGCTAGTAGCCTCCACCAACAGAGTGAAAGTGGGGTACCTGGGAGGAGTAGAGGGAGGGGATCTGTGTTCATGTTTTGTATAAAAGAAAAATCTATTTTCAATGAAAAATAAATAAATGAAAGAATTGTTGCCAGATATTTGACCACACTATAAACATTCAAAATTTTGTTGTTTACTGGAGGAAACTGCTTCTAATTTTGGTGTGGCTCAGCCCTAAGCACACACTTTTAATCCAAGAGCTTTCTTCTAGAATATTGTCAATGGAACTAAGTAAAATCAATTATAGGTTAAGAGGCAGAACAAGCAATCTGTTGACAGGAACATACCACAGACATTGGAAACAAGTCAGGAGGATGGAAGGAGACACACAGAAAGTAGAGGGAAGGGGCATCAAGCTGGCTGATTTTGTTTTGTTTGGGACAGGGAAGGAATAAGCTCTTTCTCTGATTCAACAACAGAGGAGACAGTTCAGCTTTCTGTACCCCTGAGCTAGCAGGTTTTCACTATAGGGATTGGCTCCCAAGTCTTTATTGGTATAATAAAATTATACAAATTAAGTAAAAAATTATTATTATCTAGATATATTTTTTTAGAGAAAATTGGTTTTAATTTTCTGTTGTTGTTGCTAAATGCTCCAAATTTCAAATTGGATATATGTTTTGTTTAGAGGCTACCCCATTAACTTTCAAGATTAGTTTTCTTTTTGTTTCTTTACTACATACATGACTTTTTTCTTAATTTATTCTTCTCTCATAGAGTAACATTCTTTTTTTTAACTTAATTGTATCAAAAGCAAAATTTACTTTGAAAGAAAATTAAATTACAGATGCTTGAAGAGCAAACATTTACTATACCAAAGACACTGCTTTTCAATGTACTTAGTGTCAACATTTGGGCAATTTTTAATGTTTCCAAAAACGGAATTACTAATACCTCTGTATAATATTTAAAACAACAAAAAAAGACTTTTATACCATATTTTCACAAATTGTCCCAAAGATAGTGTTCATGCTCAGTTGTTTTTCCTTTGCTTGAAAATAAGCTACCAGCAAACCACTCTAAAATGTTTTGTTCCTGAACCAAATATAAATATTCACATTGGCAAAATGTTTTATAATGAGTCCTTGGCCTCAATGAAAAGCATTACAGCTAAGGAGAAACTAGAGTTTATTTTCAAATTCTGTGATTGGCTTCCAAAAATCCCTTATCAAGTAGAAGTACTAGCAAATAACAGACACTGAGGATCAGATTTAGATCTTTGGTATAAGCATGAAATTGTTGCTGATTTTCCCATGACTAGCATAAGCCAGTAAAAGCATCAAAGACAATGGAGTCTAGGATGCATTGAAGGCAGGCAGGAAGCATAGTACTTTGTCTCGGTATTCAAAAGAAATGAACAGCAGAGATACTTAAACCACTCAGAGATTTAAAATCGTAGCAAAACAAAAGGTCAAGCTTCAAAATGACCACACTTGATAACCTGTAGCTGGAATATGTCACTGCATTTGGGCATTTTACTGTAACTTATGATGTACAATTATATGAGGACTCTCAACACTATTTTGGCACAGCAGACCTCCAGAGTAAGAGAACAACCCTTTCTCCCTAAATGCCTGAACTCTGAGTGATACAAGAACAGAATGACATGTACATGTACGGTTATGTGTAACTTCATTATCATTTTTTTCATTGTGACATGTGCAAGTAGATTTTTGTTTGGGGAGTTGTAAACTATTAACTTAACAAGCCTAAAGGCATTTTAAAAAAACTTTTAAAATATGAAGCATAGGATTTTATGTCTAGTAAGTGTACTGTCAAAATAACCAAGGATTCAACTCATTTTAAAAAATGAAATTCTTGTAAGCATTTTTAGAAGAATCTATGGATACTAGACTCAAGACGACACTAAATCCAAACAGTATAACCATAACTCAGTTTTTTTTTAATCACTTTCAATCCTTCGATCTGCTACTGCCTTTCATTTCTTCTTCAAAAAATTTTTACTAGAGACAAACTATCAGGATTTGTGTTGGGCATCTCCTGCAAGGCCCTGCCAGATAACTTTGTAAATAAGCATCTCCAGCCCTGACACATTGTGATCTGAGACTAATCCTGAGAGCCACATTCTTACTAAAAGTTCAATACTAAATGTTTAGAACTCAGGGGTTTAAGCTAACAATAACTTAAAAATGAGCCAAATTCTAAATATTTCCACAATTCTTTAAGAGCTAAAACTGAAATTCTCATAGAATTTAAAACACCACCAATGACAGAAAGGCGACTGTTTACTACCCCAGCACATTAGTGATAAGTTACAGCAAAACAGGGGTGTAATCTTATTTTTGAAGTTTAAGATTAACCATGGCAAAGTCTAAAAGCTGGACAAAAGTGATGAGATCCTAAATATCACACTCATAAAAATAATCGACTTCTATCATTCTGTCTTCCTTCTGCTTCACGAGGAATCTAAGAAGTCAATAGAGAATTGTTTTGTTTGGGCCAACCATGAAATCTTTAAGAAAAGATAGGTATATCCCCTGTTATTCTTTCAGGGCATTATTTATACATTATAAAAACCCTTCAAAAATAAAGTTATTTAGGCTTGTGAATATTCTGAAGTAAAGTTTCTTGAACTTCTCTGATGAACTCTTAATCAGAGCAATTCAAGCAATTCAAGTTTCCAAACAGTCAACACTTAGTTCCTTTGGCGTGGATCTATCCCACAGTTACAAATCGGCTTCCTCCTTTGTTGAATGTGAGAGTGGCTCTTTGCTCTTTCAGTATCCCAAATCGTTCATTCAAAGTCATCCCTGTCTGTTTTCCCACACTATTTATATCAAACTGTAGAGGGACACCTTTAGGAACTTTCTTAACATCGGACTGCTCTCTTTTTGTCAAGAATGAGGGTACAGCAGTACGAGTTAATCGTGGTTTCTGAGCTACTGGACACTGTACTGCTCCAGGGTTGTCAATGGATACAGTCAAAATTCCTACATTTGTGGTGGAAGTACGCCATTGACGAGTTCTCTTGGCTACAACATCATCTAGCAGCTGTTCTGTGTTCAACTGGGCCTGAACCTTTAGGCCTCTTCTGAAAAGAAAAGTTGATTGACCAGTATCTTTCTGATGACTTAGTTTATTTCCGCTCCTGGTAAAATTAGCTGGAATGGTATTTTTTTTTCTGTTTAACTGGTTAGGTCTCTTGAGAACTGCAACTGGTTTCCTTTGTACTTCATTTTGTCTCAGAAGACTTGTCTTCCTTTTTAACGTTGGAAAATATCGTTCTATATTCTTGTCACTTAGAGGTGGACGATTCATAGGACTAATTCCTTTTCGAATTCCAGTTGCTTTCCTAGCGGGTTCGCCGTGGCTCCCACCAATCGGGTGACGAACCGGTTCATGACTGGGGCTGCGGCTCGGAGCAGTCAGCCAGGAAGGCCGGAGTTGCAGACCCGCCGCCTCCCACTCATGCTCGCAGACTCTAGAGTAACATTCTTACCACAGCTTTTCCTCCCTCATCCCTCCAAATACTCCTATCAACTGTCCTCTTCCTCAGATCCACTTCTCCTCTGTTTTCCTTCAGAAAAGAGCAGGACTCCCAGGGATATGAACAGAACATGGCACAAGGTTCACTACGACTAGACACAATACCTCTTTTCAAAGCTGGATGAGGGAGGCTGGTCGGAGGAAAGGGCTTCAAAAACAGGCAAAACAGGCAGAGTCACCCCCACTTCCATTGTTAGGACTCACAAAAAATTCAAGCTAAACAACCACAACATATGTGCAACCTAGCATATACCCATGCAGGCTCCATGGATGCTGCTTCAGTCTCAGTGAGCCCCCATGAGCCCTACTTAGCTGATTCTGTGGACCATGTTCTCCTGGTATCTGTGAACCTTTTTGCTACTACAATTCTTTCTCCCCCAATTCTGTGAGCATTCCCTAAGTTCTAACTAATTTTTGCCTAATGTTTGTTCTCTGCTCCCATAAGCTGATGGAAGAAGCCTCTCTGGTGTTGCTGGTGCTCCTTCTGCTCCTTCAGCCAATCGCTGCTGAGATACCAGCACATTGGGGCATGGTCTCTCTCTCTCTCTTTAAAAAGGCAGCAACTTCCCTCCACTCACTCTCTGGCTCCTGGCTCCTACACAGCTAGTTTTACACCTGAAATAACAACACACAAATTGTATTCTTTTAAACACTGCCTGGCCCATTAGCTCCAGCCTCTTATTGGCTAATTCTTACATCTTGATTAACCCATTTCTAATAATCTGTGTAGTACCACGAAGTGGTGGCTTACTGGAAAAGATTCTAGCCTACATCCGTCTCAGGTCGAAAAATCATGGCGACTGACCAACTCTGCTTTCTTTCTCCCAGCATTCTGTTCTGTCTCTACCCATCTAAACCCTGCCCTATCAAAAAGCCAAGGCAGTTTCTTTATTAACCAATGAGAGTAACACAGAGAAATAAGACCCACCTATATCATTTCCCCTTTTTCTGGTTCTTGACATGAGACAGAAACTCCATAAACTCTGGGTTTTTCTCTTAACAACAGGCTTGGAATTAGAGAGGGACTGAGCCAGAGTCCAAATCCAAAATCAGCTCTATAAATTTAGAAATATGATTTGGTGTATTTTACTTACAGAACCTATTCAGTTTTCTTGATAGTCCCTATTGGACAGTTATTTTTCCATCTGTCAGTATTCAAACATCCAGGGTCCCTTGAATTTTTCAAAGATGAGTGTTTCCCTGCATAGATAAGAACAGAACCCTGCCCTCATTCTATATGTTTTTCTTACCACCTGTATGAATATTATCATTGTGGATGAGCTGTCATTTCTCCTTTCCAAGAGGTTTCTCCTCTTCAAATAGAACCTTTATTAATTTTGATGGTATCCACAATTTTTCTTCTCCTGTGGAAACAAGAGCACAACTCCTTCCCCAGCATAGCACATCTCCTGGCTTCCATTGAGGGGTCAGCACATCTTTGAAATAAACTGATTGATTTAGTTCAGTAGATATTTCCATTGTCTAATGTCTTTCTGCTGCTATTGTTCCTTTCTCATTAGTGGTAAGAAAATTCAAGGTTAATAAAGCATTATGCAATCTATTTCTGGGGTTATTTTTCATCCCTTTCTGTTTGTTTAGCATATCCTTTATAGTACGATTTGATCTTTCTATAACTGCCTGACCTGTAGGATTATTTGGTATACCTATAATGTGTTTTATATTATAATAATCAAAAAAGCGTTTCATTCTCTTAGATACACATGCTGAACCATTGTCTGTCTTTGTGCAGGTATACCCATGATGGCCATAACTTCCAATAAATGTGTGATTACAGAATCAGCCTTTTCTGAGCTCAGGGCAGTTGCCCACTGAAAACCTGAACACGTGTCTATGGTGTGGTGTACATATTTTAATTTACCAAATTCCATAAAGTGGAATACATCCATCTGCCAGATTTCATTTCTTTTAGTACCCTTTGGGTTACTCCCTGCAGGCAATGGGGTTTGATTATAGAAAGAACAAGTAGGACATCTCTTTATAATGTCCTTAGCTTTTTGCCATGTAATGGAAAATTCTTTATTTGGGCCTTTACTATTGATGTGATGTTTTTATGAAATTCTGAGGCCTGCAACACGCTTCCAATCAATAATTGATCAATCTCAGTGTTACCTTGTGCTTGAGGACCAGGCAGACCCGTATGGGACCAGATGTGTGTTATGTACACCGGACAAAGCCTATTCCTGATTGTGTCTTGTACCTGGATAAATAATGAAGTCAACTCTGTGTCATCTAGTATAAATTCAGCAGTTTTGATATACAAGATAATTCTTTCTGCATATTGTAAATCTGTAACTATATTAAGAGGTTCTTTAAAATCCCTTAGCACCATAAGAATGGCATATAATTCTGCCTTCTGGACAGAATTATAAGGGCTTTGTTCCACCTTACTTAATTCTTCCGATTTATAACCTGCTTTCCCTGATTTATTTGCATCAGTATAAAATGTACAGGCTCCAGTTATTGGAGCTAGGCACCAATCTCTGAGTATACCACAGTATATTTAGGAATCATTTCACTGACTTTTGTTTTTTCTAGTAGTGTTTGGTCTCACCCTAGTTTTCTGGGTCCTCAATCTTCCAGTTTCTGGAAATCCATGCAATGCCAAACAATAGATACCTCTTATGGTTTGGGCCTTAGGTTAGAGCAATCATAGGTGGGTCACTCCCAAAAGCTCTGAGTCACCCTTATCCCAGCACATCTGGTAGGCAGGACAGTGGTAGATGGAAGGGCTTATGGCTGGGTGGGTGATTAATCCTACCACTAATAGTGTTTCCTGGTTACAGAAGATGGCTGGTTCAGGCTCCATAGCCACCATTACTAGGACTCCTCCCTAGGTTCACTCTCATAAGTTATAGGATGTTTCCACTGCATTAGTTTTTCTCATCAGCTACCAAATGCCCCCAATTCTATTTGTCTCTCCTCATATTTTCTCCCTTTATCTTTCCCTCCCACATCAATCCCTTGTGTTCATCCTCACCTTCCCCCTAGTCCTCAAGCAAATTCTATATTTATGTACACTTCCTAGAGAGTTACATGTATCCCCTTAAAGCCTTCCTTGCTTCTTAGTCTCTCTGTGTCTGTGAGTTTTAGCATCATTATTCTTTACATGAAAGCTAATATCTAATTATAAGGGATTAATATCATGTTTGTTTTTCTGAGTCAGCACATTTTCTCAGGATGATTTTTATTCTAGTAACATCCATTTGCCTTCAAATTTCATGATGTAATTTTTTAAAGCTGGTGCATTAAACCCCATTGTGTAAGTATACCATATTTTCTTTACCAATCCTTTTGTTAAGTGTAACACGAGGGTCCTGCTTGTTGGGGTTTCTGTCCTGCCCGGTACCCCACAGTCAGCAAGCCCCAAAGAAAATCACACAGAGATCTCTATAAGTTATAAAGCTGATTGGCCCATTAGGTCAGGCTAATTATTAGCTCTTGTAGCTAATATTAACCCATTATTCTGATCTATGTTAGCCATGTGGCTCAGTACCTTTTTCACTGTGGCAAGTAACATCCTGCTGCTTAGGTTGTCTGGGCAGGAGTGAGAGGAATCAACTTCCTCCTTCCCAGAATTCTCCTGTTCCCATTGCATCATTTCTACTTCCTGTCCGTTTTTTTCTGCCTATATTTCCTGACTGGCCAATCAGCGTTTATTTAAAACATGACTGAGAGAATACAGACAATTCTTCTGCACCAGTAAAGAGGCATCTAGGTTGTTTTCAGCTTATGGCTATTATGAATAAAGCAACCATGGACATAGCAAGAAGGTGTCCTTGTGGTAGGATGGAAAACCCTTTAGGTATATGCCCAGAAGTAATATACCTAGATCTTCAGGTAGAATAATATCTAATTTTCTGATGAGGAAGTATTTTGATTTCTATGGTGGTTATACAAGTTTGTACTCCCAACACAAATGGAAGAATATTTCCCTTGCTCCTCATCCTTGCCAACATGAGTTTTCTCTTGTCTTTCTTATCTTATCCACACTGATAGGAGTCAGATAGAATTTCAAGTCATTTTGATGCATATTCCACTTATGGCAAAAGATATTGAAAATTTCTTTAAGTGTTTCTTGGTAATTTAAAATTCCTATGTTAAAATTTCTCTCTTTAGGTCTGTACCCCATTTTAAGATTGAATTATTTGGTTTTTTGATGTTTAGTTTCTTCAGTTCTTTATATATTTTAGATACTAGTGTTTTATCGAATGTGTAGTTGAAAACCTTTTCCCATTCTGTAGGCTGATGGTTTATCCCATTGATGGTGTCCTTTGCCTTACAGAAGTTTTTCAGTTTATAAGGTTCCATTTGTTAATTTTTGGTCTTAGTGTTTGTGCTATAGGTGTTGTGTTTAGGAAGTTTTACCTCTGCCAACATGTTCAAGGCTATTTCCTACTTTTCTATTAGGTTCAGTGTGTCTGGCTTTATATTAGAATTTTTGTTCTACTTGTACTTGAGTTTTGGGCATAGTGGTAGATATGGATCTATTTACATTTTTCTACATGCAAACATCCAGTTACACCAGCACTATTTGTTGAAAATGTTATATATTTTTTAATTGTGTATTCACAGATTCTTTATCAAAAACCAGGTATCCATAGTAGTGTGGATTTATGTATTAGTCTTTAATTTGATTCCATTGATCAATAGTTGTTTTATGCAAATTCCATGTTGCTTTGCGAATATAGCTCTATAGCACAGTCTGAAATCAGAGATGGTGATACCTTCAGGCTATTTTACTTTTATTATTCAGGATTGGTTTTATTTTTTTGCACATGAAACTTAATATTGTCCTACCAAAATTTGTAAAGAGTTATGTTGTAATTTTGATGGGATTGTGTTGAATCTGTAGCTTTCTTTTGGTAAGATGGCAATTTTTACTATATTAATTCTATTAATTAATGGACATGTGAGATCTTTGCATCATCTGATATCTTCTTCAATTTATTTCTTAAAAAACTTGAAGTTTTTGTCATGCAAGGTTTTAACTTGGTTGTTTAGTGTTATCCCCAAAGTATGTAACATTACTTGTGGCTATTGTGAAGGATGTTGTTTCCCTGAATATTTTCACAGTCCATTTGTCCTTAGAATATAGGAAGGCTACTGATTTTTTGTTGTTGTTGTATCCAGCCATTTTGATGAAGGTAAAACCTTGTACTTGTAAAATTTT